CTTTCAGTGTTTCAAAACTTACTTCATTTCTTCCCTGTGTTTCTTGTTTCCATTTCACCTTCTTTCCCACCCTTCTGAATTTTGTCCTTCGGTAAATGCTGCCCTTTTGATCTTGAGTGGCTGACTATTTTATGATGTGCATACCCCACGTGTGTTGTTCTCTCCCCTGTGTAGCCTCTTTATTGCTTGGCTGAAAACTTTAGCCACAGTGGTGAGTTTAGTTCTAGACCTGAAAAGTGACCAGGGGCCATAGTTTCAGGGTTCCACCAGTGTCCATCTGACCAGTAAACTTGGTCTTTTTTATGACTTTGAGTTTTGTTCCACATTTTCTTCCATTCTATCCAGGACCCTCTAATGTAACTCCCTTTAAAGCAGTTGGTCATGTTAGCTGGAAACCATCTAGTCCTTCTGTGGTCTCAGGATCACGGAGACTGAAGTTCATTGCACTAATTGTTTCCAAGCATCTTCAATTTTCATTGCTCTTCTTTCCTCTGGACAGTGAGAAACCAGTAGTTAGACCTTAGATAACTACTCATAAGTTTTTGTCTTTTGGGGTTTTTTTTAACCTTTTATTGTGCAATGAGTGATAGTTTACATGGGAGAACATCAATTTTGCACTCATCCTATTGTATTTCGTTATCATTGCAATGATTACAATCCCCTCCATGCATCACCATTCAACAGTATTTGCTTATATTCCCTGTGGGGTTTTTTAATTGTTTCTTTTTTTTGATGTACACAAAGACACTCAGGAATATATAATCATTTAAACAACCCAAGGGCACATTCTGCAAGCCCTCCTCCTGGCTGCCAGCACACAGCCTTTCTCTTTCCATGAGTATAGAGTCCTCAGCTGCTTGATGTAATCATCTTTGCCTCCATCTCTGGTGTCACTGCTTCTGTGGATAGGGTTCCACATTCTGCTCATGCTTTTCTCCCTTCGTGGTCGTAGGGGTCCTCTGTTCCTGGAATGTAAGATTAACTACTACTCCCTTTATGTTACAAAACTTCTACCTTTACAGTTGTGACAATTGCAGTTAATCATGATAACAATTACTCACTATTGGATCATAAGAATTTTATCCCCATCTCCTTTCCCCAGACCCGTCTAGACAAGATGAAAACTATTTAGTGATGATATGAAGACTCCTTCCCTCTTAGTTGGTATTTTGAGCTACTACAGCTATAAGTATAGGTCAGGTTCGTCAAATTGTAGCAGTTTACACTTGTTTCCTTTATCAAATTTCTTTAAATTCCTCTGTTCGAGTTCTGATCATCAAGCCATTGAAGCTAGGTCAAACGGGTACTATCTGTCTGCAAGTTGGGCATTGTTGTACGTCTCTCCTTACTTCATATCAGCTGAATGCTTCACTCTCAGCTCTAACCCTCCATAGCTTGGTCTTTGTCCATAGGCTTAGGAATCCTCAGGTCTCACCATACTCTGGACCAACCAGCCCTTCTCTCTCTCACCTCCAGGTTGACAATGACAAAGGGCCACATGAAGTCCCATCTGTGAAATTTGCATATTCCAAGAATAAAGAGAACATCTTTAAACCTTCCAGAGAAATGGTCAACAGCAGTCTATGTAACATGATCGAACTCAGCCCCTATCTTCATTTCTGCCTTTCCCTCTCTTCCACTCACCAGCAGACCAACGTGGTCACCAGCAATGCCTGCTCATGTGTTCCCTTTAAGTTACAGTCTTAGAGGGGGCTTTGTCCTGAAGGGACTTGATTATTTGCCTTGTTGGCTCTCTGGCAAACAACATAGTAGCCAAATCAGACTGCCGTTTCTGGTTTCGATTTTTTCCTGCAGGTCTTTCTTTCAAGAAGTATCTTCTGTTCCTCCAGCCACTCCAGGCTGGTCTGCTTGTCCTTTCAAGTGGGAATGTCCCACCTAAGAAGGTTCAGGATGGGGCTCAGGATCCCCAAGGTCCTGTACACTACAAAGGCTTCTCAAGAAGCCTATTTCACTGGGCAAGTTCTAGAACCCCCTTTAGGTATTCCAGTCAGTTCACTCATGAGTTTTTAAGATTACAGTCACTTTTTACCAAATTAGAGTGTAGAACATTGTCTTTGTGGACTTTGTTATGCCAGTTGACCAATGGTGTCCTACAAGACTATGGTCCTAAACCCACAGGTAATGTTTAAGAACTTTTTATATTTTGGCCCCTGTGTTGTGTGACACTGAGAGCATGGTGGCTCTAGAGGATTATACTGGACTGTGAACCACAGGTTCTGTAGTTCGAGCCCAGAAGCCACTCCATGGAAGAAAGATGAGGCTTTCTGCTCTTACAATGATATACAGCCTCAGAAACCCTAAAACAGAATCGCTATGAGTCAGAACTGATCTGACGGCACTTAACAGCAACAATATGGAGTGGTGCTGTAGGATAAGCAGTGGACTGCAAACAGAAAGGTTGGCAGTTCACATCTACTAGCCACTCCTTGGAAATTCTATGCAGGGTTGTGTGAGTCAGAACTGACTCGACTGCACTTGACAACAGCAAAAACATCCTCACTGAAGCTCTTCATCCATACAAATATAAAAATAACTGTCTTCCCTATTGTATTACTTTTAGAGTCATTGCTTTGGTTGATGATAAAAAACAAAATGAACGAATTTTATTTCACTTGAAATGTTCAGGGTTCTATGATCCTGTAATATGGTTGTCATGGATTCACATTTGGTACAGCTTACTAATACAGGAAGGAGCCTGGGTGTTGCAGTGATTTGCACAGCTGTTAACCAAAAGATCGGTGATTGGAACCCACCCACTGCTCCATGGAAGAAAGGTGTATGTGGTTTATACTTCATTTCACCACTTAGGACAAAAATATTTACATGTCTTTGAATGATCAAATTAGTAGCTCTTTGGATCTTGTCTCCTTACTGCCTTATCTTCATATCCAATCTTCTTGCAAATATCATCTGTACTTGTTAAGATTCTGCTTCTTTCATCTCACTCCTCAACCCACTGTAATCTGATTTCTGCCTATACTACTTCACTGAAATGACTGCAGCCAGGGATAGCAAGAATATTTGCTGCAAAATCTAATGAGCATTTGTATTGTGGATGAGCACCTGTTCTGAACAAAACTTTATGACTGGAATGCAATAATTTCTAGCCACCAATCTCAACCCCACCCACCCAGAAATTTAATGAGTTCCCAGTCTTTGCTTATCTCACTGACAGTTAATAATGTTGACCACTTCCTCCTTGAAATAGGCATCAATGACACATGTAACTGGTTTTCCTTCTATATCTCTCCAACCCTCCTTTACAAACTTCTCTTCCCGTTATGTCAATGTTATCATGCCTTGGAGAACTCTCTCTTAGGCTCTTCTTGTGTCTCATGGCACTTGCTTTCTCATTAGTGACATGCTTTGTTTCAGTTATAATCTGCTAATGATCCCAAGACTTCACTTTCACTTCAGACCTATCTATGGACATGTTCACCTGGCTGTTGTGCTGGGCTACAGTTGATAGAAAGCCATTTAAAAGTAGTTTCAGGCCAAAAAGGCAGAGACATAGATTCACAAAACCAACCCTTAAATGCACAGGTGAAATGGACCTTAGGGATGACTGGAACCAGAAATTCATATCATCTGGACTTCTCTTTTGTCTCTGCTTGTCAGCATTATCATCTCAGAACCATCTTCTCGTTGTTGTTGTT